TGAGAATGCAGCAATCGTACTCGAGTGCGCACCAAAAGCGGACCAAATAAGCGTACCGAGACCTGCTTGAAGAGGTGGTCTTGGTACGCTTTCAAACGAACCCTGGAGCGGTTCATTTGTGGTGAGAATATGATCCGTACTAAAACAGGTCCAACTGCAAAAAGTACTGGGCGTTTTGGACTAATTCAGCTGCCATAAGCCGATGCGCTGTGCATTATGGGATATGGAGGAAAAATATTTGTTGACAGCGCTTTACCAACAGAGAGAGAGAGGGGAAAACATTACCTGATGGATCGTTGGTAATATTTCCGCAAGATGACCATGTCGCAGTTTAGCTAAATTAATTCACGTCTCCTCCTGAAGTGAAGAGCGATGCATTAAACACTGTTTTCCAGCCGCGGCCGCGCTTCATTTTCGTAATGTATAGTTTGTCTAAAGCAAGGATATAATCAGCCAGCACAGTCGTCCCTCCAGAGTAAAAGGTTTTGTTTACCTGCGGGAGTTCACTGGCATTTTCCCGCACGTGAATTCTGACCAATCAATAAGCAGTTTAGGAAATATGTTCAACAACATCTGGCCAATGAGAGATGTGGATTTTGTCAGATGACTGCATTTTGGTTTGTTTCAACTGGTTCGGACTAAAGCCAGGAGTGTGGTGTGAAAACGACCCAAAGACGGCAGAAGATGCATCAATGTATCATTTATTGCCCTTGCTCCGGACCAAATGAAGCGAACTACAGATGTGAAAGCACCTTAAGACTATAATTGGGTTATGGTTGTATGATATTCATTGTCTATGATAGCATAATCATTCTACTTTTAAGAATCTACTTGACCAAAGTCTTGTCGCTTATCTAAGTTTTAGGAACAAATAATAACTTCTAGTTGATCATTTGGAGTCAAAAGTGTCTTGTATGAAAGGCAAAGGCCTCTAGATGACGCTTGTTTTACCCAAATAAAATATGATCATGGCTTGATTTTGATGATTTAATTAGGACAGTAAGGTCTGACTTTGCTAGACTAAAGTCTCGTCACTGAACAGAAATAATGTCCAGTATAGAATATAAAGTCCTGCTGCAGTGGAGACAGAATGAATATTGTGTCTGACTCCATCATGAGCTTGGAGGACTGCATCCATACATCTCTGACTCAAATCACTGATTAATAAAGTCATCTGGAACAGCAAAGAAAGCGTTCTTGCAGGACTCCCAGAGCTCATCAAGATTCTTTGGATTCATCTTCAATGCCTCCTCCTTCAACTTACTCCAGACATGCTCAATAATGTTCATGTCTGGTGAGTGGGCTGGCCAATCCTGGAGCACCTTGACCTTCTTTGCTTTCAGGAGCTTTGATGTGGAGGCTGAAGTATGAGGAGCGCTATCCTGCTGGAGAATTGTCCCTCTCCTGTGGTTTGTAATGTAACGGGCAGCAGAAATGTCTTGATCCCTCAGGCTGTTGATGTTGATCATCCACTCTGCAGATCTCTCGCACACGCCCATACTGAATGAACCCCAAACCATGATTTCTCCTTTACCAAACTTGACTCATTTCTGTGAGACTTCTGCAGTATTGGTGATGATTGGGATGGAGCTCAAAAGAAGATTCATCAGAAAAATTCACCTTCTGCCACTTTACCAAATGATCAACGAGAAGTCAAGGTATTATTTGTTGCTCTTACAACTGGGATCAAAGACAAGACTCAACATCAAAATTTCTGAAGGCAAAGGAGGTCAAGGTGCTTCAAGATTGGCCAGCCCAGTCACCAGACATGAACATTATTGAGCATGTCTTGATAAGCGTAATATAGAGAACTTTGCCTTTCATATAAGCCACTTCTGATTCCAAATAGTCAACTAGAAGTCATTTATTTATATACTCGTTCATTCATTCATTCATTTGTTAATTTACTTGTTCATTCATTCATTTGTTTGTTCATTCATTCATTTCTGTTTATTTGTTCATTCATTTGTTCGTCTTTTAATTTAATTTATTCATTGATCTGTTCATTCGATCATTCAAACATATATTTTTTTTGTTCATTAATTCATACATTCATGTTTCGTCATTTATTTATATACTTGTTAAATTTTTCATTCATTCATTCAATAATTTTTCCTTTACTTGTTCCTTCATTTGTTTGTTCATTCATTCATTTTTGTTCATTTGTTCATTCATTTGTTCGTCTTTTCATTGGTTCATTCATTCATTCATTTTTTAATTCGTTCATTCCTTCATATATTCGTTTGTTCGTTTATTCATTCATTCGTTGATTCATTCATTTATTTGTTGCTTCATTCATTTATATATTAGTTCATTTGTTCATTAATTTGTTCATTTTATTCATTTGATTGTTCATTTGTTTGTTCATTCGTTCATTCATTCATTCATTCATTTGTTTAGTCATTCATTTTGTTTGCTTATTTATTCATTTGATTATTTATTTGTTTGTTCATTCATATGTTCATTTGTTTAGCCATTCATTTTGTTCTTTCATTTATTCATTTGATTGTTTATTCGTTCACTCATTCATTCATTCATTCATTTTTTTAGTCATTCATTTTGTTCTTCATTTATTTATTTGATTGTTCATTTGTTTGTTCATTCGTTCATGTTAAGTTAAGATAGTTAAGATAACTTACAAACTTTTGCTAAATTATGATCAACTTATTAAAAAAGTTAAATCAACATACAAATATTTGTTACCTTGATTTTTTACTCATTACATTTTTACAATGCATTTGAATTTACCTTGTTTTATTTTATTTGAAATATTTAATACATTTTAAATAAGTGGCAGGGCATTGTTTCACTCAAATATCACGATGAAATGACTTGGAATTTACTTGGACAAAGACAAATTGACCAGTTTTAATGACTCTGATTTGACTCGTCTTGAGGAACAATCAGCATATACACTGTGCACTTTCTGTGATTTAAAACTCAGCAGGAGATTTTCATTCATTTTGAGCTGTGGTACCCACTTCGTTAAAGATCATTTCAATTGGGGCGCATTAAAAACATCTGAATTTGCACTAGAAACTAAATTCTTCCACAAAACGGATCCAGAAAAGCATTAAAGGCAGAGGTTCTTTAAGAGTAAATCACCTGGGCGGCTCTGACCTCTTCATTAGTCCTCATCAGAGAGAGCAAGCATCATTAGGATATCGCAGCGCAAGGATAAATTTACATTAGGAAATCCTTTACTCCTGTCCTAATGCGTGTGTGTCAGGTCATCTTTCTAATTTATGTGGCCTAAGAAGGGGGATTTTGTGGTGTCTTTTCTAAAAAATTACAGCAATATTTGCTCTATTTCTTGTACTGAAGAGTGTGTGATTTGAAGTGCTTCTTTAATGCTCATATGTAAGTCAGTTTGGATAAAAGTATCTGCTAAATTAATAAAAGTAAATGTTTTATATTTACCAAAAAAATAAAGAAGAAATGTTCTTTCAGAACCAGCGGGCTCTTTCATTTACTTAAAGGAAACACCAGAGAAACATTAGAGTTCACTACAGTATGTCATAATTGACAGCCGGATTAGGATTCCAAAGATCAACATTTCTGCATTGTATTTAATAATAATATAGTAAAAAGTTTCAAATAATAAAAATCATAATAATATTAGTAATAATAGTAATAGTAATAGTAATAATAATAATAATAATAATAATAATAATAATGATGATGATGATAATAATAATAATAATAATAATAATTTTGTTTTTGCTCTTTCATTTATTCATTCAATTATTCATGTTTGTTTGTTCATTCATTCATTCATTCATTCATTCATTCATTCATACATATATACACTTGTTTATTCATTCAATCATTCATTCATTTATATATTTGATCACTTGTTCATTCATTCATTCATTTATTTCTTCATTAATTCATATATTTTTCCATTTGTTCATTCATTTATGTTCATTTACTTGTTTATTATTTGTTCGTTCAGTCATTCGTTTGTTCATTCATTTATTTTTTCATTTGTTTGTTTGATCGTTTATTCATTCATTCGTCTGTTCATTAGTTTATTCATTCATTCATTCATTCATTCATTCATTCATTTGTTCGTTCATTTATATATTTGTGTATTCCTTATTTAATTTATTTATTCATTCATTCACTTCTTCATTTATTTATATATTCGTTCATTTGTTCATTCAATTATCCATTCATTCATTCACTTGTTAATTTTCTTGTCCGTTCATTTGTTTGTTCATTCATTTATTTGTTTGTTCATTCAATCATTTTTGTTCATTTGTTTATTCATTCATCTTTTCATTGGTTCATTCATTCATTCGTTTATTCATTCATATATTTGTTCGTTCGTTTATTCATTAATTTATTCATTCATTTATTTGTTCATTCATTAGTTTGTTCATTCATTTATTTGTTTGTTCATTCAATCATTTTTGTTCGTTTGTTTATTCATTCATCTTTTCATTGGTTCATTCATTCATTCGTTTATTCATTCATATATTTGTTCGTTCGTTTATTCATTAATTTATTCATTCATTTATTTGTTCATTCATTAGTTTGTTCATTCATTTATTTGTTTGTTCATTCAATCATTTTTGTTCGTTTGTTTATTCATTCATCTTTTCATTGGTTCATTCATTCATTCGTTTATTCATTCATATATTTGTTCGTTCGTTTATTCATTAATTTATTCATTCATTTATTTGTTCATTCATTAGTTTGTTCATTCATTGATTTGTTTATTCATTCATTTTGTTCGTTCATTTATTCATTTAATTGTTCGTTTGTTCATCCGTTCATTTGTCCATTGATTGATTGATTAATTGATTCATTGATTCATTCATTTGTTTATTCGTTCATTAATTTTTTGTTCATTCATTCAGTTGTTTGTTTGTTCATTCATTTATCTGTTCGTTCATTCATTTTGCATTATAACTATATTCCAAATCTGAAGCCACTACAAGGACCTGGTAATCAATTCAATGCATGCTCCTATAAGTACTTTATTTTATCCTCACCTGCTGGAGAGGCTCAGGAGCTCGTGTTTGTCGGCGGCGGTGGATTTCTCCTCCAGTTCCCACAGCAGAACATTAATGAGATGAGAGTTCTTGATGACGATCGGCACCTCCTCGAACATGTGCTCATAGCCCACACTGGCCTTCTTCAGCCTGTACAACACACACACACACACACACACACACACACACACACACATGTTTATTTACGGTTGTGAATTACATTATAGGATGTTGATCTCTGCTCTGTTGTCTTTTGATGTTGAAATTCAAATTCACAGTTTAACAAAGTGACTTTTATAGACATTTTAATAGATTGAAATATTTTAATGTATAAGAAATAATATATAGCGTATATAAAGTGCATCCAGAAAGTATTAATAGAAATATTAACACTTTTTCCACATTTGTTTGTTACAGCCTTATTCCAAAATGGATTAAATTTATTTATTTTCTCAACATTCTACACACAATCCCCCATAATGACAATGTGAAAAAAAGAGTTTTTGGAAATGCTGCAAATTTATTAAAAATAAAAAAGCTGAAGGATCAGATGTACATCAGTATTCACAGCCTTTGCTCAATACTTTGTTGATGCACCTTTAACAGCAATTACAGCTTCAAGTCTTTCTGAATATGATGCCACAAGATGGCACACCGGTCTTTGGAAATTTTAGCCCGTTCCTCTGTGCAGTACCTCTCAAGCTCTATCAGGTTGGATGGGAAGCGATGGTGAACAGCCATTTTCAGATCTCTCCAGAGATGTTCAATAGGGTTAAGATCTTGGCTCTGGCTGGGCCACTCAAGAACAATCACAGAGCTGTTGGAAGCCACTCCATTGATATTTTGGTGGTGTGCTTTGGGTCATTGTCCTGCTGGAAGATGAAGCGTCGCCCCAGTCTGAGATCAAGAGCACTCTGAAGCAGGTCTTCATTCAGGATGTCTCTGTACATTGCTGCATTCATCTTTCCCTCTATCCTGACTAGTCTTCCAGTTCCTGCTACTGAAAAACATCCCCACAGCATGATGCCAACACCACCATGCTTCACTGTAGAGATGGTGTTAGCCTGGTAATAAACGCTGCCTGCTTTTCTCCAAACGTAACGCCTGACAATCAATCCAAAAAGTTGAATTTTAGTCTCATCAAAGCAGAGAATTTAGTTTCTTATGGTCTGAGAGTTCTTCAGATGCCTTTGGCAAATTCCAGGCGGGGAGTGAGGAACTCTACCATACAGGCCTGATTGGTGGATTGCTGTACAGATGGTTGTCCTTCTGTAAGGTTCTCCTCTCTCCACAGAAGAACGCTGGAGCTCAGACAGAGTGACCATCGGGTTATTGATCACCTCCCTGACTAAGACCCTTCTCCCCTGATCACTCAGCTTAGATGGCCGGACAGCTCTAGGAAGAGTCCTGGTGGTTAAACATCTTCCACTGACGGATGATGGAGGCCGCTGTGCTCAGTGGAACATTCAGAGCAGCAGAAATGTTTCTGTAAGCTTCCCCAGCCTTGTGCCTTGAGACAATCCTGTCTCGGAGGTCTACACACAATTCCTTTATCTTCATGCTTGGTTTGTGCTTTGGCATGCACTGTCAACCCTGGGAGCTTATATAGACAGGTGTAGGCCGTGAACTCCACATGTGAACTCCAATGAAGCTGCTGAAACATCTCAAGCATGATCAGTGCAAACAGAATGAACCTGAGCTCATTTTAGAGCTTCAGAGCAAAGGCTGTATGTTTACATGTGTTTTATTTTTCATAAATTTGCAGCAATTCTAAAAACTCTTTTGTCACCTTTTCATTATGGGGGATTGTGTGTAGAATGTTGAGGAAATAAATTAATTCAATCCATTCTGGAATAAGGCTGTAACATAAACAACTGTGGAAAAAGTGAAGCTATGAATACTTTCTGGATGCACTGTATACTCTATAGTTCTCACATGCTGCATGAGAACTATCTTGTAGGTCTTAAATTGTTTTAAAGGGGTCTTAATTATCACTCAACTATTATTCTGCTCTGAGTTGGGGAATAATGTAGTTATAGTTGAGTTTAGAGATAGGGAATAGGCATGGATTTCATTTTCCAACAAAAATGATGTTCCAGGATCAACACAGATGTTAATCCAGGATCACATCTTACTTGGAGAAAACATGACGTACGAGTTCACCCAGAGTGACCATAAAAAAAACGCTCGGTGCATGCAAAGACAAAAGCACACATCCTTCCTCATGTTAATTTAGCGCACTCTCTCTTTCCTCATCCTGCACTCTTTCATTCATTCGCTCTCATTAGGGTCTGTTTGTGATGGAGTCTGGGCTGCATGAACTGATCACTCTAATTAAACGACTGGATGACTTCAACTCTCCTCCATCACTAATCGCTCCATTAGACAAGCACTCCAGGCTGATTAGACCACTCATTTCAAAGGCGCTGTTTTACTTCTGATTATTTATTGCAGGATATCTTACATCTGAGCACAGGTTGAAGTAAACAAGTATGCATTAAAAAATGATAGAATGTTGGGTAAGTCTGTTAAAGTAATTGCATGTGTATTAGTATGTTAGATCTGTGCAGCAACCACAATGGCATTTTTTTCCTTTTTTTCTCTCTCAACCAGGCCACACTCTTTTGGACCAGAATTTTTTACTGTAAATTCAGGATATCATGACGCATTCATCACCGAATGAAAACACTCATCTTCAATGGAGCCGCTCGAGTTCAGAAACGATGTTAGTTATTTAGAGAAAAACTCCCGCTGGAGTGCTTTGTAACTTTTCAGCTCCTTTTTCACGCTCAACAGCAACATTTCACACCAAAGAAAGCTGAGATTGTCAAAGCAAGATGTAGTGTGAAGGATTTAAAGGCTTACCCTTCTGAGGAGAAGTCCTTCTCTTTACAGATCTCCATGAGTTTGGGGGTCAGTCTGTAGGCTTTCAAACACAGCGACCCCTGGGCTGTCTTGATGGGATCTACAGAGAAAGAATAAGACGGTTTCTTTGTAGATAGCAAACAAACCAAAGTGATCCGACCTGCTCAACACAGGCTTCACTATCGATAAGCTTCCGAAATGCTAAATGTGTTTGGAAAGACCAAAACTGACAGCAGGTGCTCTTACATCAACACTGCAAGAGGTAAAATTGAAGATAAGAAGTTGAGACACATGTAGATTTTAATCTACCAGACAAACACACTGTCAGCAAGTCAGAAAGGATTAACCCAGGCTCATCGGAAATGCGTGCCTCAGTCCACATTTTAGTAAAATACATTACTCTGGGTATGTTTTGTTACACATTTCAAATGATAAATCCATGAGAGGGCGCTACCTACATTTTTTATGAATTTGAAATACGTTAATTAGGGTACAATTTGCAGTACATTTCAGATGTTGAAACCACTAGAGGGTGCTGTCCACATTTTAGTGAACCTGAAATACGTTACCTGTGGTACATTTTGTTGTGTGTTTTAGACAGCAAATCCACTAGAGGGCGCTGTCAACATTTTTTAAAATTTGAAAATGTAACTTAGGGCACGTTTTGTTGTACATTTCAGATGACATATCCAGTAGAGGGTGCTGTTAACATTTTTTAAAACTGGAAATGTGTATCTTTTGGTATGATTTATTGTACCTTTCAGATGGCTAATCCACTAGAGGGTGCTTTCTACTATTTTTGTGAACCTAAAATAAATTACTTTTGGTACATTTTGTTGTATGTTACAGATGGCAAATCCACTAGAGAGCGCCGTCTACATTTTTGAAAACCTAAAATATGTTACTTTTGGTACTTTTTGTTGTGTGTTTCAAATGATAAATCCACTAGAGGGCGCTGTCAACATTTTTATCACATTGGAAGTGTGTAACTTGTGTTGTGTACGTGTAGTGTACGTTTTGTTGTGTGTTTCAGATTACAAACTTACTAGAGGGCGCTGTCAACATTTTTGTGAACCTGAAATAAATTACCCTTGGTACATGTTGTGTTTCAGATGGCAAATCCACTAAAGGGCGCAGTCAATATTTTTTAAAATTGGAAATGTGTAACTTATTGTATGCTTTGTTGTACGTTTCAGATGACAAATACAATAGAGGGCGCTGCCTACATTTTTGTGAACATGAAATAAGTTACTTTTCGTAAATTTTTTTGTTTCAGATGGCAAATCCACTAGATAGCGCTGTCAACAGTTTTTTTTAAGTTGGAAATGTGTTAAAGTGTACGTTATGTTGTATATTTTTAGATGACAAATCCACTAGTGGGCGCAGTCTACATTTATGCAAACCTGAAATAAGTTACTTTCGATACTTTTTGTTGTGTGTTTCAGATGACAAATCCACTAGAGGGCGCTGTCAACATTTTTTTATTTGTTGGAGATGTGTAACTTAGTGTACTTTTTTTGTACGTTTCAGATGACAAATCCACTAGAGGGCACTGTCAACATTTTCTTATTTATTGGAAATGTGTAACTTCGTGTACGTTTTTTTGTACGTTTCAGATGACAAATCCACTAGAGACGCTGTCAACAATTTTGCAATTTGAAATAAGTTACTTTTGGTTCATTTTGTTGTGTGTTTTAGATGAAAAATCCACAAGAGGGTGCTGTCTGCATTTTTTAAAATTGGAAATGTGCAACTTCTGGTATTTTTTGTATGTTTCAGATGTGAAATCCACTAGATGGCGCTGTCTATATTGTTTCGAACCTAAAATAAATTACTTTTGGTACATTTCATTGTGTTTCAGACGCTAAAGGCGCTGTCAAAATATGTTAAAATTGGAAAATGTAACTTAATGTACAATATGTTGTATGTTACAGCTGACAAATCCACTTGACATTGCTTTGACTTTTTTCTTTTGACAAATCTACTAGACAGTGTTATGTTGTTTTATGGGATTTATTTGGTGTCGTACAAGAACTGCACAAATATATCTCTTTATTTGTCTATAACGCCCGAATCACTTGGGGCGTCATTGTCAACGCTTCCCATTCACTTTCAATGGATGATGTCAAGCATTGTCGAACTGAATTGTGGATCCGTCAGCACTGCTTCAGCGGCATTGCTCGCTGCAGAAGTTGGGGATTTCTCAACTTTTCAATCGCCAATTGAAGTGTCAGAAAATCAGATAGCTTTATGCAAATATCCCACCTCAGACAGTAGCCGGTTCAGACATGCCCTCAGTCAAGGCTTGATGCTGAAGCACTGTGTGAATGCACGGTAATATACTATATCTCTGTAAACATCATTAGTGTGAAAAGGATCAAGTGTTTTTGTCATCATACTGCCCCCTAGTGTTCATTTTACCCAGAAAATACAGTTTTACATTTTTTGGAGATTTAAAAAATGTAGGCTGGAGCAGGTATTTTCAATGAGCCTATGTTGGATTAATCTCACTGACAGAAGGCTGATATCTGAGAGGACAAACTTCTGTCAAAATGGGCAAAACCTGCCAGCCATCTATTTCCAAAACCCAAAAAGTGAATTTAAAGCAGGATTGTGTTCTGATAATAAATGCTTTCAGACATTGTGGAAAGATGCTGGTCTGTCTTTTTATAAAGTCTTGAAACGTCCCCGATGGCATAAGAATAGCAATGTAAAGACGCCTCAAGGAGATCTCGAGATCCAGGTAAGATTCGGTTAGTCTTTCTCAAGTAGCTGTTGAAATGAAGTGGATTGAGGTCTGAGGATGTATTTATGCCGCCATTCATGATGTCTTTTGTACATAACTTGACATGACAAACTAAGATCTAAGCAGAGGAGCACAATGGGAAAGAGCTGAAGAGAATGTGCTGTTTGGTGCTTGACTGAGGAGAAGTCACTGTGACATTAATAGAGGTTTTTACTCTTGATTGATGCTGTCTTACAATGCGGTTGTTAAAGTGTGCAGTGTGCGTGTGTGTGTGTGTGTGTGTTTGTGTGTGTGTGTGTGTGTGTGTGTGTGGTGGTTAATCTAATTGTTTTTGTAAATGTGTGCACGGTGAATGTTTGTGAAATTGACGGACAGACGGATAGACAGATAGATAGATAAATAGAGGATGAAATAACACTTGATACATGCACACCAAACCTATGCTTCAAGACATACAGTCTAGGCCAATCAGATTGAATATTCTAATGAGGGGGAAAGAAAGGAATCTTAAACTTGCTTTTACCTTCTTACCTATAGGCAACTTACCCCTAACCCTAACGCTTACAAACATTAACCCTAAACCCTAACACTAAATAACCCCAACCCTAAACCCTAATTGCCAAGCCCCTAAACCCCAAACCCAAATAACCCTAACCCTATTTGCTAAACCCTAAACACTAACACTAAAAAAACCCTAAACCCCAACCCTAAATAACCCTAGACACTAAACACTAAACCCTAAACCAGGGGTGTCCAAACTACGGCCCGCAGGCCATCTGCAGCCCGCAATCAGTTTTGTGGCAGCCCGCAAGGCTTTTTATAAGTAATAATAGAATCTGGCCCGCTATACAAAATAGCCACCCCAATAGCCTACCACCCTACCACGTAAATCAAGCTAAATGAGAAAGCAGGTGTGTGGGCGAAGAGCATGTATGAAGTTGTAGTCCAGGAAAAGTGTAGTTCTAAGTGTGTGTGTGTGTGTGTGTGTGTGTGTGTGTTTACCAGCGACATCTGGTGGTTGTTCACTGGTAAACATGACAATATATATATATATATATATATGCGTGTCTGTGTGATGTATTTAAAATTTGGCCCGGGACAAAGGTTTTTTTTTTTTCCATCTAACCCTAGCCCTCGGCCCAAAAAGTTTGGACACCCCTGCCCTAAACCCTAACACTAAATAACCCTAGACCCTAACACTAACTAACCCTAAATCCTAAAACTAAATAACCCTTACCGCTAACACTAAATAACCTAACATTAACTAACCCTAAATAACCCTAAACCCTAACACTGAATGACATTAGACACTAAACCCTATTTGCTAAACCCTAAACACTAACACTAAATAACCCTAAACCCTAACACTAAATAACCCTAGACACTAAGCGCTAAACCCTAACACTAAATAACCTAACACTAAATAACCCTAAACCCCAACACTAAATAACCTAACACTAAATAACCCTAAACCCTAACACTAAATAACATAACACTAAATAACCCTAAACCCTAACACTAAATAACCTAACACTAAATAACCCTAAACCCTAACACTAAATAACCTAACACTAAATAACCCTAAACCCTAACACTAAATAACATAACACTAAATAACCCTAAACCCTAACACTAAATAACCCTAAACCCTAACACTAAATAACCCCAACACTAACTATCCCTAAATCTTAAAACTAACTAACACCAAACCCTAACCCTAAATAACCCTAAACCCTAACAGTGAATGACATTAGACACTAAACCCTATTTGCTAAACCCTAAACCCTAACCCTAAATAACCCTAAACCCTAACAGTGAATGACATTAGACACTAAACCCTATTTGCTAAACCCTAAACACTAACACTAAATAACCCTAAACCCTAACCAACCCCTAAACCCTAACACTGAATAACATTAGACACTAAACCCTACTGTATTTGTTAAACTCAAAACCCTAACCCTAAATAAATCCAAACCCTAACCCTAAATAAATCTAAACCCTAACCCTAAATAACCCTAGACACTAAACGCTAAACCCTAAATGCTAATAGCAAATAACCCTAAACATTAACAATAAGTAACACTAAACCCTAAAACCCTGTAACACCCTCATAAGCGGCCTTTGTAGAGTGAATTTCTGCTAAGGCTTGACATTTCTTAGCAGGATTGAACACTAGATGGATGGATGGATGGATGGATGGATGGATAGGCAGGCAGGCAGATAGACAGACAGACAGACAGACGAAAAACATAAGAATAACAAAAAATAACACAGAACTGTCTCAAACCCCAGAACATCCCCACTTGCACTGCATCTTTTTTTTCTGTAAATCAGCCCTGTTACACCCGAGAGGCTGAAGAGTGTCTGAAACGTCCATCATGCTCAGTTTCTGGACTCATGGGCCTCTGAATGCGCTCATTGTTCATGTGGAGTGTGTGTTTGCTGCAGGGTGGGGTTTCTGGCAGCTGCGAGGTGTCTGATATATTTTTAGTGAGGAGCGACTGCCTGCCACCACAAGGAGGAGACTGAACAAACACTCTGATACGGACCCACATCTGGGAAACACACAGACTGAGAAGACCACGAGACCAGAGCAGGGCATGCATATTCACAGCTCCAACTAGAGATCTGTGATATGTATAGTCTGTGATAATATCTTAATAGCTGTTTTAATGATGTGTGAGCTGGCATTGTGGAGTATAAAAAAGCCAACACACTTATTTTCAGAGTCCAAAAGCACTGATCGTTCGATGAAGTCTTGAAGCAGTCTATATTATGAAGTCAAGAAAATATCTCAGTATTAGTTTGTGTTTTTAAATTCAGATGATATAGTGCAGAGACATCCCACAAGCAAGAGCTACGTTTGCCGAAATATCTGCGAATACAAATACATGGTTTATTGTGCATCTCAATGCAGCAGTGTGCCATTTGGTTCTTGAATGAATCAGTTTTTAAATTATTCGTTTGAGTCAATGATGGATGGATGGATGGATTGATGGATGGATAGATGGATGGATGGATGGATGGATGGATGGATGGATGGATGGATTCAGATTGATTGATGTATTCAGAGTGATAGATAGATTCAATCTGTTTTTGAATGATTCAATTGAGTCAATGAATCATTTGAAGTGTGTAGGATGGATGGATGGATGGATGGATAGATTCAGATTGATTGATAGATTCAGATTGATAGATAGATTCAATCTGTTTTGAATGATTCAAAAAGTTTATTCTGAGTCAATAAATCATTTGAATCATTTGATGTATGTGGGATAGATAGATAGATAGATAGATAGATAGATAGATAGATAGATAGATAGATAGATAGATAGATAGATAGATAGATAGATAGATAGATAGATAGATAGATAGATAGATAGATAGATAGATGCATGGTGTGCATGGTGGATGGATGGATAGATAGATTCATATTGATTGATAGATTTAAAATGATAGATAGATTCAATCTGTTTTTGATTGATTCAATTGAGTCAATGAATCATTTGAAGTGTGTGGGACGGACGGACGGACAATTCAGATTGATTAATAGATTGAGACTGATAGATAGATTCAATTCAAGATTTGGTTCTTGAATGAATCAGTTTATGAATGATTCGTTTGAGTCAATGATGGATGGATGGATGGATGGATGGATGGATTTAGATTGATTGATATATTCAGACTGATAGATAGATTCAATCTGTTTTGAATGATTCATCTGAGTCAATAAATAATTTGAATCATTTGATATATGTGGGACAGACAGACAGACAGACAGACAGACAGACAGACAGACAGACAGACAGACAGACAGACAGATAGATAGATAGATAGATAGATAGATAGATAGATAGATAGATAGATAGATAGATAGATAGATAGATAGATAGATAGATAGATAGATAGATAGATAGATAGATAGATAGATAGATAGATAGATTCAGATTAATAGATTAAATCTCTTTTTGAATGATTCATTTGAGTCAATAAATCATTTGAATCATCCGATGTGTGTGGGATGAATGGAAGGGTGGATAGAAAGATTCAAATTGATTGATAGATTCAATCTGTTTTTGAATGATTCATTTGAGTCAATGAATCATTTGATTCAATTTGAGCGTTCTAATTTCAATTCAGTCTCATTTAGGGTAATTCGCACACTTAGAGTAATCCAAGAGTGTTTGCAGCATGTCTGGGTAAGAGGAGGTGTGTAACATTAGTTTTAGTGTAATTAGGGAAACAGATTTGTTGTTAACGCGGTTCCTCCATTGTCCACATCTGTGCGGCGGGATGAGCGGTGTCCGGTTCTCGATCCACACATCAGCTCAGCGATAGCAGGCTAAATAAACAGAGAGGAGGAAACCCTGTCTAGACGAGGCTGCTGTCGGCTGCTACACACACCAGCCTCCTGTTTACACAAGGGGGGAACAGCCATACACAGCCAGAACACCATGAGCAGAGTGAAACACAGAGAAGCAGTGCTGTAGAAAAGAGTGTGTGTGCGCGCGTGTGTGTGTGTGTGTGTGTGTGTGTGAGGAGTGCTGAAACATTGATTTACTGAATGTGTTGTGTTTATGTGTGCAGCTGGTATTGGTATTCGTGACATTGTGAGGACCAAATGTCAATACCAGTATTTTTGTCTTTTAAATAGTAGAAACATCCTCATTTCTATGATGAGAGATTGTAAAACATGAAAAAAAAAATGCGTGCGTGTGTGTGTGTGTGTGTGTGTGTGTGAGGTGCTGAAGCATTCTGACATACAGCATGTGATGTGTGTTTGTGTGTGCACCTGGTATGCATCACATGCATCACATGCCCCCACAAATGTCCCCACAAGTATAGCAATACCAGTAATTGTTTGAGCTTTTGTACAGTATGAACATACTTATTTCTATGGTGAGACCCTGTAAAACATGAAAACCAAATGTGTGTGTGTGTGGTTCTGAATCATTGATATACATTATGGAATGTGTGTTTGTATGTGCACCTGGTATGCATCACATTGTGAGGACCAAATTTTCTGTCCTTTGTACGGTATAAACATCATTAGTTCTATGGTGAGACCCTGTAAAACATGAAAGCCAAATGTGTGTGTTTGGGTAAGGGGTGCTGAAACATATTGCTGTACACTATGTGTTGTGTGTGTAGCTGATATTTCACATTGTGAGGACCAAATGTCCCCACAACTATAGCAATACCAGTAATTGTTTGAGCTTTTGTACAGTATAAACATACTTATTTCTATGGTGAGACCCTGTAAAACATGAAAACCAAATGTGTGGGTGTGGTTCTGAGACATTGATATACACTATAGGATGTGTGTTTGTGTGTGCACCTGGTATGCATCAAGCTGTGAGGACCAAATGTCCCCACCAGTATAGCAATACCAGTTCTTTTTTGAGCTTTGTACAGTATAAACATACTTATTTCTATGGTAAGACCCTGTAATAACATATTGATACACACTATGGGAAGTGTGTTTGTGTGTGCACCTGGCATGCATCACATTGTGAAAACCAAATTTTCTCGCCTTTGTACAGTATAAACATTATTTCTACGATGAGAGCCTGTAAAACATGAAAGCCAAATGTGTGTGTTTGGGTAAGGTGTGCTGAAACATATTGCTGTACAGTATGTGTAGTGTGTGTGTAGCTAATATTTCACATTGTGAGGATCAAATGTCCCCACAAGTATAGCAATACCAGTCGTTTTCTGTCCTTTGTACAGTAAAAACCTCATTATTTCTATGATGAGATGCTGTAAAACATGGAAACCAAGTGTGTGCGTGTTTGGGTAAGGGGTGCTGAAACGTATTGCTGTACAGTATGTGTTGTGTGTGTGTGTAGCTGATATTTCACATTGTTAGGACCAAACGTCCCCACATGTATAGCAATACCAGTAATTTCTGACCTTGTGGGGACATTGTTGTTGATAAATCATCCAGAATGAAGTGTTTTGCAAATGTAAATGGCAGTATGTTTCATGTGAGGGTTGGGTTTAGGGGTAGAGTTAGGGTAGGGGGAGAGAATATACAGCCTGTACAGTATTAACATCACTAGGTCTATGATGTGACCCCATAATACATGAATACCCTATGTGTTTGTGTTCATTTGTATGTGTGATGGGATGCTGAAATACTGCTGCGTGTGTGTGTGTGTGTGTGTGTGTGTGTGTGTGTGTGTGTGTGTGTGTGTGTGTGTGTGTGTGACAGAAATACACATGTTTTCTTGTGTAGCTAATTTGTTTCGTAATGTGTTTTCACATTACTAGTTGTTAGCACATTGTTAGCATGTTTCTAACACGTGCCGACATATTGCTAGCATTTTATTAGCATGTTTTAACACAGTTAACAATATGTTTTAGCATTTTGCTAACTTGTTTCTAACTTGTTTGACATGCTGCTCACATTTGAACGCATTGCTAACATGGTTTAGCTTGAACACATTGCTAGCTGTGACCAAGATGTTTACTAAAATGTCAGTAGCATGTTTTAGATTTTAAAAATTACTACAGTATTGTTGAATGTTGCTTGCATGTTTCTAACCTTACAGTTTTTGTAGCATGTTTTAACATGATAAGCCAGCCTGATCTCACGAGAAAACGTAAGTATTTTACGTTTTGTCAGTTTAGTGGCTAATTCGTACAAATTCGTACAAGTTTAGTCATATGAAATTGTACGATTTTAAAAAGGAGGCGTGGCAACTAACCCCACCCCTACACCCAGCCGTCATTGGGGGATGAGCAAATCATACTAAATTGTTCTAATTAGAATATACGCAATTATACGAATCAACCACAAAATCAAAAAGTTACGAATTGCCATTAGATTATGTTGTATTAGCATACTGCTAACATTAGTATGCTAACGTTATTGTTGCTAACATTTCTCTGTCGTTTGAAGTTTGCAACTAATGAAAACGAAGTTGAAACGAAAAGGAAAACAATAGACAGAAGAGAGGTGTGACAGAAACGTACCGTATATTAGCACGACGGACTCCTCGATAGCGTGCTGGTAGCTGAACTGAGAGTCCAGAAGCGCTCGGCTGACAAAAGACCCGTATAACGTTGACTGGTACCAACCCACGTGAAGATGATCAATGTTGACATGCCGAAGACTTCTCATCATCTCCATCTGATACTGAACTGCAAGAGAAAAGAGAAAATAAAGGCGTGATGCTGTCATTTCTCAATTGCACAATTTGCTTTATTATTGTTGTTTCCATTATTACATGGAGCTCAGAGCAACTTAAATTCAGGTCACAGTCACTGCAAACAACATGAACACACACACATACAGACACACACGCACACACACACACACACACACACTATACTATATTGCAGATTACACAGAGCTGTTAAGGGTTATGGAGTCTGGGGACCAATATTCAACCAATATGAGCTTTTTAGCTGTAAATATGAATATTTCTTGAATGAAGGTGATGATATTTTCCCTATGAATATGAAAACTGTTGTGCAAAAACAAATGTTTGAACGTTCAAATAAATTAAGAACACGATTAAACATGCACTTCTAGAAAACAGATCCAAAATAAGATACTTGGTTACTAAAGTGAATATTTTTTCAAATCAAATCTAAACATCCTAAATCTAAACATGTAAACAAAAAATAAATAAATATCAATAATGATAATAATACATTACCTAAACAACATAAAAAATACTATTAAAAATGTCAGGTATTTAGTTTAAAAGGCATTATCAAATTTTCAATACTAAAAATAATAATATTTATTATACTTATTTTTTATAATATTTATTATGATTATTAGTATTATTGGTATTAGAAGTTTTATTATTATTATTATTATTAATAATAATAATAATACTTTATTGTATTATATACTTTACATTATTATTATTATTATTATTATTATTATTATTATTATTATCATCATCATCATCTTTATTATTATTATTATTATTATTATTATTATTATTATTATTATTATTAATATTATTATCATAATTATTAATATTAATAATACAATTATTATTTATTATTATTTTTATTATAATTATTATTATTATTATTATTATTATCTTTAATATTAATATTTTAGTTATTATTATTCATATTGTTATTATTAATACTATTTTTATTATAATCGTTATTATTATTATTATTATTATTATTATTATTATTATTATTATAAATAATAATGATACAAATATTATCATTATTATTATTAATACAAATATTATTATTATTATTATTATTATTATTGTTATTGTTATTTGTTTTGTTCAATAACTAATACTATTATTATAATTACCAGTTGTATTAACTTCAATATAATTATTATTAGTAGTAGTAGTAGTAGTAGTAGTAGTAGTAGTAATATTCATTCATTCTTTTTTTTCGGCTTAGTGCCTTTTTTAAACAGGGGTCGCCACAGCGGAATGAACCGCCTACTTAATCAGCATATGTTTTACGTAGCGGATGCCCTTCCAGCTGCAACCCATCTTAGAGAAACATCCACACACTCATTCACACTCATACACTACGAACAATTTAGTTTACCCAATTCACCTGTACCGCATGTCATTGGACTATTATCATTATTATGATTAATATTATTAATACTGTTATTTTTAATATTATCAGTATTATTATTATTACTATTATTATCATCGTTATAATTATTAATACTATTATTATTATTATCATTATTAAACTTGATTATAATAAATATTCAACAGAAGTAACATTAGAATTTGCAGTTGTAATTATTTTTTTTAAATAAATAAATATAAACAATTACAGAAATTAATTTCAGAACACAACCCTATCGTTACGGATGGATTTTGTCATTTGTAAAAAAATAAAAAATAAAATTAAATTAAAAAAAAAGGCTCTGTAAATATCCAGAAAAACTTGAACTATCCTTTCAAAACATGTTCACCATGTAGCACAGTAGCATCTTGCTTTCTTATTATTGAAGAGGATTTTAGGATAAAGTGAGAATACAGTAAGTAAGATCAAGGTAATCTTATTTAAATCCACAAATGATTAAACGTCAGACTCCTCATGTTCCTCTGTGCTTCAGCAACATGTAAAAATGCATCTTTGTCTATGATGTACAATAAACTTTTCAGACAATCTTATGAGGTTTTATTTTTTTATTTATATATTTAATAAGCCATGACAAATGAAAAGTAAAAATCAAAAAGAAAAAATAGTCTACATAACTGTATATATTGTCACATTTCTACCTAATTCTTTGGTATGTCCATTGGGTATAGTATGTTCACATCAGTATGCAAGTTTACTTAGACGGACGCACAGATGGATGGATGGATGAATGGTCAGAATGATGGACGGATGGATGGACAAATAGATAGATAGATGGATGGATGGATGGATGGATGGATGGATGGATAGGTGGATGGATGGATGGATGGATGGATGGATGGATGGATGGATGGATGCATGGATGGATGGATGAATTGATGGATGGATGGACGGATGGATGGATGGATGGATGGATGAATTGATGGAGTGATGGATTGATGGATTGATGCATGGAGGGTTAGAATGATGGATGGATAGACAAATAGATGGATGGATGGATGGATGGATGGATGTATGGATGGATGGATGGATGAATGGACGGATGAATGAATTGATGGAGTGATGGGTTGATGGATTGATGCATGAATGGTCAGAATGATAAATGGAAAGACAAATGGATGGATGGATGGATGACCGAATGGACGGACAGATGGATAGTCAGAATGATGAATGAATGGTTAAAATGATGGATGAATGAATGGATGGATCGATTCATGGATTCATGGTCAGAATGATGGATGGATGGACGGACAGATGGATGGTCAGAATGACAAATGAATGGTTATAATGATGGATGGATGAATAGATGGATTGATGCAAGGATGGTCAGAATGATGGATGGATAGACAAATGGATAGATGAATAGATGGATAAATAGACGGACGGACAGATGAATGGATTGATGGATGGATGGATGGATGGATGGTCAGAATGATGGATGGATATATGGATGGATGGATGGATGGATGAATTGATGGATGGATGGATGGATGAATTGATGGATGGATGGATGGACGGATGGATGGATGGATGAATTGATGGAGTGATGGATTGATGGATTGATGGATTGATGCATGGAGGGTTAGAATGATGGATGGATAGACAAATAGATGAATGGATGGATGGATGGATGGATGGATGGATGGATGGATGGATGGATGGACGGATGAATGAATTGATGGAGTGATGGGTTGATGGATTGATGCATGAATGGTCAGAATGATAAATGGAAAGACAAATGGATGGATGGATGGATGGGCGAATGGACGGACAGATGGATAGTCAGAATGATGAATGAATGGTTAAAATGATGGATGAATGAATGGATGGATCGATTCATGGATTCATGGTCAGAATGATGGATGGATGGACGGACAGATGGATGGTCAGAATGACAAATGAATGGTTATAATGATGGATGGATGAATAAATTAATGAATGGATGGATGGATGGATGGATGGATGGATGGATGGATGGATGGATGGACGGAGGGATGGATGGATGGATTATTGGATGGACAGATGGATCCATGGATGGTCAGAATGATGAATGAATCGTTAGAATGATGGATGGATGGATGGATGGATGGATGGATAGACGGACGGACGGACGGACGGACGGACGGACGGACAGACAGACAGACAGATGGATGGTCAGAATGATAAATGAATGGTTTGAATGATGGATGGATGAATGGATGGATTGATGCATGGGTGATCAGAATGATAGATGGACAGACAAATGGATTAACAGATAGAATGATAAATAGATGGATAGACCACACTGCATTTTTTGTCCCAGAATGTTTTTTTTCTCTCTGGACAATCAAGCTTTTCAGTAAAGAGTCAACTCTGGAAACTTTGACCCAAACACAGCCAGATTTGGCCCTACAAAAAGCGATCAATGTACAAACACATTAAAGCTGGACAACAATTTCCACTCTTGTGTGCCAAACCAAGTCCTGATGTCCCGAAAGAAACCCTAAAGGCCATTGAGTTTCATTCCCAAACGCAGGAGAGAGATAGCAGGATTATTAACATGAGCCCATCAAGGGTCTTCATTTTATTAAAACAGCTGGAGAGTATCGTAAGGTACATTAAATAACAAACGATTCACTCTCATGAGAAAACATCTGGGATATGAAGACTAGCCACAGGACTGAAGGCAACAGTAACTCAAAACAAATAAATAAATTAAAGGAATCAAATAGGCGATCCTTTGGGAAGCACGACAGTGAACGGAAATGTGTTAGAAGAGTGTCGGAGAGGATGAAGAGACGGAAAAGTATTTTAGAGAGGACACAAAACGCACTTCAAAAGCGGAGAAAAAATGTGTGCGTACAAAACCACAGACCAGATTCTGCAAAGTACAAATGAGTTGCATGAGAATTACACAAAAAAAGAAAACAGAGATGTAAAAAGGAGACAAAACGCACCAACCCAAAGCCCCTAAAACACTTGAAACAACAACACAAAAAACAAGATAATGAGAGTCTAGCTGATGGCATCCTGTAATTAAATGGATTTTCATTCGGGGAAAAAAAACACCACCCTAAAAAAATATCAAAACAAGGCCAAACCCACCGGATTTTGCATGGAAGATTTCTTTTTTCTTCTTCTCTTGCACGAGCCGAGGCCTTGCATTAACTTTCTGACTTCTCGTGCAGACACTTCAAATGTAGTGGTTTACAAACAGAAAAGCGGGAAAGCCAAAAAGGGCAGATCTGGAACAGCAGCATGATTTCAGAACACTAATGTGAAAGTAGAACTGAAACAGGAATGATCAAAGAGTGTTCAAATTAAACAGTACAACATCAACTTCACCCTCCATCACCTCCAGGTCAAAAGAGCAAAAGCACAGAGTATTCTGGGTCGTGTAAATGTAATAGTCATGAATTGTGGGCTTGTTGCAGAGAAATGCATCATTTCCCAGGCTATTGGAAGTGGACTTTTATCTAGGATGGATGGATGGATGAATGGATGGATGGGTGGAAGGATGAATTGAAGGACTGCATGGATGGATGGATGGATGAATAGATAGATAGATA